TTGCGTGACGGAGTGAGTTCGTTATCACATGCGTACTGCACTTCACGGGATGGTCTCCTCGCAAGGCCATGTGAGTAATGTACATCATCAAATTATTCCTATCATTAAGGAATAATTTTAGATGACATGGACTGACAAAGAAAATACACAAAACACTGCACACACTATAACCATGCTGTCCATGCATGCATGTACCTGCTATACAATATTTCACAGTAAGGTCAAGTATACTTTCCAGACCCTGTGAAGATCTTAGAAACCAATAACTAAATAAGGCTTACAAGAAAGTTGCACAACGCAAAATCCCAAACGCCTGTAGAGGTCCGATTACCTATCTTTAATATATAATAACTGAAATACCTTCCTAGCCACCACCTGGTTGCTGTTTATACATATTTAATAACTGAAATATCTTCCTTGCTACCACCTGGTTGCTGTTGAAAGATACTTTAATAACCAAATGACCGTCCTTACCATCACCTGGTTGCTGACCCAACAAATCATGTTTGCAGCTTTTATATAGTCGTTTCAGGGTACTTGACAAATCAGTTAATAATTTAACTGTCTTTATTCAATTCTCATTCAAGAACACACGTCTGAGTTTACAATAGTTAAACAAACATCGATTAGGTGCCTGCCTTCCATATATATATATATATATATATATATATATATATATATATATATATATATATATATATATATATATATATATATATATATATATATATACGGACCTATGTATGATCGCACATTGGCAATTTAAAAGATAACATATTAGTAATTTAGTAAGATAATGTAAATGGACCATGAGGTATTGTAAGTACAAATTTGAGATAATTTGTGGAATAGACGTGTAGATGTATAGTGCACGAATATGTTATAGACAAGACTAGCTTTAACTATATAACTTGGGAGCCAAAATCCCCCAGCCCCAATGACTCCCCACCACCATTCAACCATTTTGGTCCCCAGTCAAAGTCTCTTCTCTAAAATATCAGCAAATTATATTGGACGAAAAATGGAATTTGGAAAGAATATTTGATATTCTAGTAACTGAAATTTGCTTTGTGAATCTTATGCCCTGTCTTTTATCTTCAAATAATTCAATGTCTATAAAAATGCTAAACATTGTGTCCTGAATACATAAAATGGTATTTGGAAAGAATATTTGATATTCTAGTAACTGAAATTTGCTTTGTGAATCTTATGTCCTGTCTTTTATCTTCAAATAATTCAATGTCTATAAAAATGCTAAAAATTGTGTCCTGAATACATAAAATGGAATTTGGAAAGAATAGTTGATATTCTAGTAACTGAAATTTGCTTTGTGAATCTTATGTCCTGTCTTTTATCTTCAAATAATTCAATGGCCATAAAAATGCTAAACATTGTGTCCTGAATACATTAGATTTTAAGCCAGTGCCTCATTGAATAGCATATCCCGGACCCTATAGATTTGAGTTGTTGGAAGGCTAGACTAATTGGCGAAACAAGTTAGTGACCGAGTTGTAACTGAAGATTCTGTAAGAATATATCTAAAGTGCTGTCTATAATGTAACGCTGTGCATCCAAAAATCTGTTCTGAAAATGCACCAAATGCAGTCCTAGGGGTGGAAAAATTCAAACATTTTCTGGGGGAGAATCCCCCCAGACCCTCCTACTATTACATACAATAATGTGGTCCCTTTTTGTAGATTGCTTTCTCCCCACGGACAAATTCTTAAAAAAGGCTTGGGCAAGCAACGAATGTTGTTGAGCGTTTCGTATGGTGGTGTACGTGAATGTGATGATTTAAATTTCCGTAATTTCGTAAGCAAATAAACTAACATAGAACATGAACTAATGTAATAAACAATTTTACTTTGTCACGTTTGGTGAAAACTGAAAACTATGAATTTAGATAAGCTAATTCAGATACCAAACGCGCAGATTCGAAAACTGGGCGCGCAAAAATCCGGAATATTTTGATCTCGGTCGCGCAATTTGCAAACTTTCCAGTCTGGTCTTTGATTGCTTAATGATGTGTAATATTTTGGGTAAAAATAATGTGAGTATATGTCTGGTAATTTCCGGTACTTGTTTACTTATGAAGGTGACATCGCTTCCCTCTTGACAAATAAAGTTAAGCCCTTCGAGTTAAAGCAAGGAAGTCACAGGCGCCCCCCTGTGGTCAAGCCCTTCGATTTAAGCCCATTTTAAGTTAAGCCCCTCTGCCACGCCCTTTTTCGCCGGGGCCTTAACTCGAAGGGCTTAAGTTAAGAGGCATGAGAGTTGGAAGCTACGTGACCTTGGCTAGCTGTTCTTTAATAATAATGCGGCTTTCCTAACACTGTCATGTAGAGCTTGAAATATCCCCAGCAACAATGCGCGACTGTCATTTATATTTAGTTTCAAAAACTAATTGAGAATTACTTGCTAATGAACTTACCAGATCGATCGTTTTTGAAGCAATTTAAAACATTCTAATAAAATACAATACAATGGAGACTCCGAAGAAATTCATATTTTTAATTCAAAGTTTCGACATAATAATTTATGATGCCCCCCTATGATAATTCCTGATGATGACTCAACAGTAGTCGAAACTTTGAATTAAAAATATGAATTTCTTCGGAATTTAAAACATTTGCAGTGCGTGTTTCATGAGACAAGATACCCAGCTTCGTCTCGTCAAATTATTCATAACTGAAAAAAATTATCATTATAATTTATATATCACCATGTTAAACACTTACTTAAAACCAGTGATAAAAAACCAGTGAAATCAGTGATGTTGAAAATTATTTGGATTGTTTATATGGGGAAACAGGTAAGTTTCAGTTGCATGTCTTCTCATACAGTACAGAAATGCCAGCTTGGTAAGAGAATCGAAATAGTGGTGTTTATGGACATCTGAGATATGCCATAACATAAAAGTATGTCTTTTGCATGTAGAAGGCCCAAAAATATCACATCTAAAATGTTTTTTATCTTTTTACAAATGAGTACCTATAGGCCGATTTCACACAAGTACTACACAAATTTTGTCTAAAACTGTCGCATGGAACCTGCTTACAACTTGAGTTGCACTGTGTAAATCAAGCATACAACTCATCTACGACAACTTAAGCAAGTTGTGTGCTTGACTTACACAGTACAACTCAAGTTGTAAGCAAAAATTGTAATGTATAAGCCGATTTGAACTACACAACTATGTCCATAACTGTCGCATGCAACCTGCTTACAACGTAAGTTGTATTGTGTAAATGAAGCACACAACTCATCTACGATACCACAGACAAGATCTGTGCTTGCTTCACACAATATGCGACAGTTTTAGACAAAAGTTGCCTATAGTGTAAATACCAATTTGTACAATTCTATATTCTAGGAGTAAATAATGTCGTTATCAAGACAAGCCAAAAAACATCTATCAATGACCTTTGTAAAATTGGAAGAACTGGTCACGTGTGGTTTGTGCGATGAATTGCTAAACAACCCCAAAGTATTCCCGTGTCTTCATTCGTATTGTTATGAATGCATCGTGAAACTTTCTCAGCTTCAATGTCGCTTGGTGTGCCCAGAATGCCAAGTTCCAGTGGAGGTGAGATCATTTATTTATCATTAATTGTTTCAGTCAGGACCTTTCTTAAGAACTCGTCTGTAAGCGGGGGGTGGTCATACTATACTGCATGTGGAAAGATGACAGATGATTGTTGGATCCTATCAAGTGTAATAGTAGAGGGGACAGGGGGAATTCTCCCCCTGAACAATTCAAATTGATAGGGTATGTCTGGGGGTATTCTCCCCAAGAAAATGTTGTATTCCTGCACCCCTACGACAGCATTTCGTGCATTCACTGAAACAGATTTTTGAATATTACAGCGGTGCATTATACTATATATAGTGTGAATCTTCGCCTTCGGTCACTAACGTTTTAGCCTGGCCTTCCAACAACTCAAATCTATAGGGTCTGGGATATGCTATCCACATGGAAATGTTTAAAATATAAGGTATTTACAACACAATGTTTAGTATTCTTAAAAAGACATTGAATCATTTGAAGATATAAAGACAGGACATAAGATTCACAAAGCAAATTTCAGTTAGTATATTATAAACCTTCCTTCTAAATTCCATTTGTCTTCGCTGGATATAGATAAACAGAAAGATAAACAGAAAGTAAATTTTAGGCTTTGTCCTTGTTTAACAAAGTCGATTTCAATTGTGTTACGTTTGTCTACCACTAAGTAATGAAAAATTATTGTTAATATTTTTTAAATTTTTTGTCCGTTTTTTCCTTCTTTTATTTCAAATACAAGTATAGTTAGCATAAATTTTAAAGCAAATTTGAATGCTCGGAATGCAGGAAATGACATTGATTTCCGTGCTTCAAATTTCAAACATTTTCTGAGGGAGTATGCCCACAGATTCCTCTATTCATGCGTAGTATATGTCGGCCATACACGTGGCCTTCAGCCATTGCTATCCCCCTCTAATATATTATCTCACCGAAAGGTATCTTTTCAAAAAATCCCCCCCCCCCCGGGAAAATCCTTAAAAAGGCCCTGACGCACATACACACATTATTCAGTTTTCAGTAACCTATTGTACAGTAGACTATTTATCTTTACAACAATTGTATAATCACTTTCCTAACTATGTTAATCTTAGCACGCCCTGTCAAATTTACCCGTGGGACGAATCCATGGGAAACCCACAACGTTCGGCAGAGGGTCGACTGACTCTTCATATGAGGTGAAAGGTGGTTGCCCTAAAGACTGCGCACATTAATTAACAATTAGTGAATGAGGTTGAGCACGATATGAAGAATTATCAAGCCCGAAGTTTGCCGTTATAACGGCAAACTTCGGGCTTGATAATTCTTCATATTGTGTGAAAACCGAATTCAATAATTGTTTTATTATTTATTTAAAAAATTCAAAATAAACGATCATCCATTTGTTCGCCCGCGTTAATAATCAGCCAAACAAGAATTAGGAAAAGTGTTCTTGCCGTGGTTTGTGTCTTAACTATCTGAAACAGATATCCCAAACGTGGAAGTCCTGTGTAGGTTGTATTCTATACAAGCTGCCATGGGTTGTGTCTGAACTACCTGAAAATAATATCCCAAACGTGGAGGTCCAGTGTTGGTAGTATTGTATAATAAAGAGGTCCAGTGTAAGTAGTATTCTATACAATAGTAGATGGGTATTGTAGATGGAAATTATTGAGTGGAAATTTATATATATTTGTTAAACCTAACCAGGAACAGTTGCGAAAAATAAGACTTTAAGTCCCTGGCAGGAATCCAAGCTGCGGCCCTGCCTATATCTAAAATATCCCATAACCTATGCATGTGGTAAAACCCTAGTATAAACATGCATTTGTGGTTAGAGCTCGACGTACAAATGTAGCTCAGTTGGTCAGTTCAATTTCTGCTGGGCATTTAAAGTTGCATTTTTCGCAGCTGTTCCTGATTTGGTCAAACAAATGTATATTAATTTCCACTCGATAATTTCCATCCACAATACCTTCCACCATTGTTCAATCGAGTGAGATGCCAAAAAAAATCATGAACTGCCTGAAAAACTCTGTAACGTGGTGGTCCACCAGGTCTTTTTATCGCACATATAATGTTTTTTTCTGTGACATATAAATAGAATTATTATTTATTTAAAAAATTCCTGGTTTCTGATTGGCTAACAGCCAGCTGTTAAATTGTCATATCAACTCAATGGCTAACCAAATCTGGATTTTTCACATTCATAATAGCAAAATGACGTCAACGAGTCAATATGAAAAAAATTTGGACGCGTTTGCGCCATATTACTATGACGACGACAATCATATTGACTCGCTGACGCCATCGATATGACGACGACGACTGCAGAAGGACTAAAGAATTGTTTTTTTCTTAATAATACAAGTAAAATACAAATGGCTTCTTCCACTGAAAGGTTCGCCAACCTTGGCGAAGCCGAAATTCAAAAATTACTGGAAGATAAAGATTCGTTAAATACAAAAAGATAAACAAAACCTTCTAGAATACTGTAGGTTATGGGATATTTTAGATATAGGCAGGGCCGCAGCTTGGATTCCTGCAAGGGACTTAAAGTCTTATTTTTCGCAACTGTTCCTGGTTAGGTTTAACAAATATATATAAATTTCCACTCAATAATTTCCATCTACAATACCCATTTACTATTGTATAGAATACTACTTACATTGGAACCTCTCTATTATACAATACTACCAACACTGGACCTCCACGTTTGGGATATTATTTTCAGGTAGTTCAGACACAACCCATGGCAGATTGTATAGAATACAACCTACACAGGACTTCCACGTTTGGGATATCTGTTTCAGATAGTTCAGACACAAACCACGGCAAGTTGTTATAAAGTGCTTTCTACACTGGACACTGCATTCTGATTTACGAATATCATTTTTCGGTACAATCCAAATAAACCCGTAGCAGCTCACTTTATAGTATAGCCATGCACTACCTAAAGTGATTGTCAATCATGTTATATTTGTGCTTACTATACCAATCTTGCATTATAAGTCATAATAACATTGATTCATTTTACCAGATTGGTAATCCACCTGATCTTTCCATCCTACCGACAAATTTCTTCGCCAACAACGTTTTGGCGACACTGAGTTTGGGCGACAACGACGATGCTCCAGCTTTGTTATGCGACAACTGCGAAGACGCAGAGAAGCCTGTGGAAAAACGCTGCAAAGATTGCTTGCAATTCCTGTGCGGACCATGCGCCGAATTTCACCAAATTTCATGTGATACGAAGGATCATGTTCTACAATCGATAGACGAGTTGAAAAACAACGAACCGGCGGAGAACGCAAGGCCTCTGAAGTGCAGTAAACATCATGAACTCATTAAATTTTACTGCGACACGTGTCAGAAAACAATCTGCATGTCTTGCTCTGTGCTTGAGCATAAACCACACAACGTCGTTTCGCTGGAAGAAAGCGCCTCGGATGCCAAAGAAGAAGTTGAGAACCTTTTGAAAAAAGTTAACAAAAGGGTTGAAACAATCTCTGTGGGAATCGATGTAGCTGTAGCGAAAAGCCAAGATATAAATTCCAGCGAAGAGTCGTGCAAGACCCAGATTGAAACGTTTTTCACACAATTGCATGAGGAAATCGATGCCGAAAAGCAAAACATGCTGGCGATAACCGCATCGACAACAGAACGCCAAAAAAGTGAAGTCGAAGAACCGAAGAAGGTGCTGGACCTCGCGCTCTCTACGTGCCAAAATGGTGTGAATTTTGCAAAGCGTACTCTTGAAAACGGAAATGACGTTCAACTTTTGAACATAAAACCAACCATCACACAGTATCTGGTTAACTTAAAAAGCGTGGAAGATGAAATCACTCCCAAAGTAGGAAACCCGGTTCGATTTTTAAAAAGAGAATCCCCAATTCAGTTTTGTAAACAGTTAATTAGAGACATGTGTTCTGTCGAAGAGGTAGCTGTCTGTCCTGCAAAGTGCGAAGCGAAGTTTCTAGATCCGACGCTTAAAGTCGGCAAGAAATCGGTGATTGTTGTAACATGCAAGGACAAGGAAGGTCGGATTATAAGTTCGGGTTGTGGGAAAGATAAAATTAGGGTGACCCTCAATGGTGTGCAGCTACAAGATGCCAAAATATCAGAGAAGCAAGATGGCACCCATGAGATTTCATTTGTGGTAAACGAGCTAGGGACGTTCCAATTTGAAGCAAAGATCAATGGCGTTGTGGCTCCAGCTTGTTCTCTTGAAGCAGATGTGAAATGGGAGTTAAGCGATGTTCATGGCAGTGGGTATTTACGAATGAATAGACAGATGGTCAACTGCATGTCAGGAGAGAGTGATGTGGGGAAGTATTGTTTCAGATTGGGAAATAACCCTATGAAGTCAGGTATTGTGCAGTATTTAAAGGATAGTTTATACATTTTATCTATTGAAAGGCGGGGGGGGTTTCCCTAGCTGCAAGAAATTGCCATCCTGGGGCCGATTAATTTAAAAAGGTAGTTAAAGATTAAAATTAGTGCATAACTATAACCAATCAAAATCGCGTATTTTAGAGTTTACTACTATTTAACTAGGAACTCTCGATTTCAGGAGCACATCACTGGGAAGTCGAAGTCAGCCATGCAGTACAAGACGAAGAAGAGTGTTTCCAAGATCCAGAGGGCCCAACATTTGAAGTTGGTGTCATCGAAGCCGGCGGTGATTATTCTGAAGCCAGTATCGTGGACGAAATTACGAAGAAATGGGTTTACTCTGGACCGG